AGTGTACATGAACGTCAACATCCCAGCCCCACCCCACCCCACCCCATGTCTGACGTAGCATCAACATCATGTCCACGTCGACACACACTTGAACATCAAAACGCACAAAAAAGTGAAGAATTTGCCACGGCCCCGAAACAGTCGGGCACCAACTACTCACTTCGTTCGCCAAGCACAACTCAGCTGGCGCCTTCTACGAAGGCTGGCTTTCGTAACAATCACAAACACACAGCCACAAACACAACCACAAACACACAAGCACAATCACAAACACAGAATCACAAACACAACCACAAGCAAAACCCCAAACACATCCACAAACACACAATCACAAACACACACTCACGAGCACAAGCACACCCACAAACACATCCACAAACACACAACCACACAAACACAACCACAAACACACAACCACAACACACAACCACAGCACACAACCACAACACACAGCCACAATTACAGCACACAACCCGAGGACCCACAAACAAAGTCGAGAACCACAAAACTCACGACCATGGCAACATGCTCCTCACCATGGCATGAAGACAAATGATTGAAATGTAATGGTAAGGATCACTCGAAGTAGAGTAGTGGTTTGGGATGGCTTGGTGGGTTTCCTGATTCCAAGGCACGTGGGTTAAGCAGCTCATTGTTGCAAGCATTTTCCCATTCCTCTGCAGAGCACATATATACTATCGTTATATGAAAACTTAGCCTGCTTTCCATTCACATCCACACATGTGCCAACATCTCCGTTTACCATCATCTGCCATCCACAATCATCTATTCATCCAGGGTGGGTATTCCTTGGACCCAAAAGTCCCAGCAAACCCGCCACCTTGCTGGTGATGGACTCCAACGAAGTCAACTCGCTGGTGGGCAGCGCGTCCTGAGATCGGAAAGCCCCCATCTAACGCAGGGCTTGAAATATTGTGGACATGCTGGCCATGGTGGGTGACTCCATGATCTGGTAGTGAAAACACATGTCCACTGAGTCCACTGTCCACTACTTGTGGGTTCCCTAGTAGGCTTCCTATTCAACATCAAGAATATACACGCGAGTGTAGCTGCGTTGATTGGACGCACCGCTAATTCATGCTGGTGCAGCAGCCAAGCAGCTGGTTCTTAGATCGGAGCAACCAGGGGCCGGTGTCAGAATGTGCTAGTTTGGATGACACAACACATGCCCAACAGCCCACCCGCCCGCTCTCCAGGCAGGCAATCAAATCCATGGTGCCATCTTTAGGCACCTGGCCAAGGGGATGGACTGTTCAATCAAATCCATAGATGCACCGTTCAGTCATCCGACATGTCCAGCCACCCACAACCTCACAGGTGGTCGATGGTAGACCCTCTACTATAATCTCCATGTTGGCCCTCTCAAATCCGGCTTGGATAACACAGGATCAACCAGTTGCAAACTGCTCGTCATCAACCAGCTCCTGAAAGCAGAAAGCCACAAACACCGACCTGTGTAGCCAAAGTGTAGCCCAAACATATCCAACACATTCTAAGTAAAATGACACAACGATACACAACGGCTCTTGACGGCTCTCGTCAATGTGTCAGACCAATTCCCACTCTTTCCCACCTCCAGCTCTTTATCAGCCTCACCAGCTTCCGCCATTTGCCTCAGCATCCCTTCAGAGAAATACGCTGGATACAGTAAGTGCGACAATGATGAACAGAACAGGTCTGATGGTACCTAAACCCTAACTAACCAGCAAGTCAATGTTCTTCAAGGTTCGTACCATAATAACACTGAGTTTGTCTCAGAATCGGGACACTCCCAACCAACCAGTTGGCGATGATTATTTCTGAGGGGTTCTCAAACAGCATTAAAGCTGACGCCCCACCCCTCGAGGCCTCTGGGCCACTCTTCCGGTGAATGCCCAAGCTTGATGAAGTTAGCGCTACGAGTAGCTATGGCCTCCACCCTAAGAGCGATGGCCTCCACCCTAAGGCCCTGAGATCGCAAACACCAGGTATGACTTCAAAGAGACCAAACATGTGAAGAAAGGGATCTGCTCACCTGTGCCCGTTACTGAATGGATGATGGTTTCCACCTGCTCAGTACAGCCGAGAGTGGAGATCTTGAAGAGAGGTCTCCTACTCTGGGGCATAATTGTTCAGCTCATTCAGTTGTAAAAACACAACCATGACTCCATTGCACGACCCAACACTTCAGATCCCCGTCCATCCATTCACGCCCGAGTGCGTCACAAACACCGAACTTGGGCAGAATCTGCTTTTTTGGGTCTCGATGTTCTTGAGCCACAAGGGCCACACCGTGGACGAGCAGATTTTCCCGACCAGCAGGTGAGTGGGTTGGTCATCGAGCATTCCTTAGCAACCCCTGTGCCCAATGGGTTGTGTTGTCGATGTTGCATCCTGAAATGCCTTGGGAATGCTCTTGGGATGATCAATTATGATTGATGGGTGATTGATGGATGCTCATCTTCACACGAACATGAACAAACTCTCGCAGCTTTGGGTGTCAAAATGTGCCAAATAGGAAGACCTTGGAGACCCAAGGTCAAAAGGACATCAGGAGATGCTTCATCAAGCTTTACGCACTTATCTTGTCGTTTTTTGATGGTACGGTATAATATGGCTATCTGCCCTACGTTCCCAAAGCGGCTAGGTTTTGTTGTTCCGGCATGTTCCGGCTAGTCTTTGACAACGAAGGCTTGCTGTGAAGGAATTGGTGGGATGTTTCCCAATTTCTAGAGTTGTTTCACTTCATTTCATTTCAGTCAGCCCCAAGAAACCTCGCGACAATGCGTATATAACATTCAATCATATGGGTGTGTATTAAAATAGGGAGGTCTCCACCCTTTGGAATAAAAAAATAGATTAACACCTGTTGGTTGCGGGCCCCCTATTCAAAGACACGCCCATGTCCAAGTTGGTGAGGAACACATGTAGGATGTGTGTAGGATGTAGGAGATCATCGTGTGTTCCTTGTGACAAAACACCGGATGGCAGCATGCATAGCATATGAAGTGGGAAAATATTCGAATCCATCCACTGCTAGATCCATGAAGTTATAAGTGTGTGTGTGTGTTCAAGTTATCTGTATGTCATGCTTTCTGTCAGCTTGAAATTCTGTCAGAGCGCAAAGCGCTGCAAGCACACATTGGAACCATCTGTCTCATCTCTCTCAACACGATCCATCTGTGATGTCATCTTGACATATCTCGACATGCGCATGGACGCTACTAGGGGCTCTTGGCATCGCTACTAGTAACAAGAAGCTACTAGGGGCTCCTGGCCTTGCTACTGCGAGCATGGACGCTACGAACGGGGCAAAGGGCATGCCAGTGTCACGGACCAGTGGCCATGATCGAAGTATCTCCGCGTCTCGTAGCTGCGTCGCACAGCCTGGGACAGGTCGTGTCGGCCAGGATCGGCAGAAAACGAGGCTGGAAACAAGTGGGTTGTGCTACTTCTCACAGTCGAACAGGACAAGTCGAACAGGCCAGTGGCCTCTTTATGGCAAACACCTTCCCGATAATGGCCAAATAAAGAGCATCATTTTACACTCAATGGCAAGCTGCAGCTAAGCATGATCTTGGTTGGCTGTAACTTGCTGTAACGGATAAATTGCTAGACAACTGAGTCAGGGTGGAATTCCGGTCCAGTCTCCAATCCTCACTGGTGCAAGGAAAATGGCCAACCAAAGTCAGAGCTGACTCCTAGTCCTAGCCACATGTGTATCGACTTTCTGAATGCAACCACATATTGGAACCACATATTATAAGGCCTGCCCAAAGTACATGTGAACTGCGCTTAGGCGTTTTTTCAGGTGTCCAGAAAAAATGCCGCGCGTCAAAGCCATGCACAGCATGCATTCAGACAACGATGCCAGAGTGAGGCTGAAAGCCTCGGCGTACTCCTTGGGATCCTTCATGATGAGATGCGAGGGCAGAGTGAAGGGATCCTGGCAACGGACGGACCAGCAGTGCTGTGGCAGCGATCCATGGTCTACTGCCCTCCCCGAAGACTTGATGAGAATGGTTTGCGGCTACAAACCAGAAACCCTCTGACATGAAAATGTGGCAGGCCTGGAACCTATATCCTACAGCTCGAGGGTCATTGTTATATATTATATGTGTATATATGTTTAATACTGTGTTTAATGATTCCGTAGTTTCAGAAGTTATATAGGGTCTTTAATGGTCTTTATATGATTTTATATGTCTCTATCAACAACAACAACGATGCTGGCACGCCTCCAACCAGTCCAACCTACTAGCGATGGCCTCCAATCTACTAGCGTGGTCAAATGAATCATTTGCCACCCTCGATTCCTCCCCCATCGGCGCTTGGGACAACGTGCCTGAACACTCGCAGCAGCCGCACAAACCACGCCTTCCTGAACAAAATCAATCCCATTCTCGGCCGTTGGACAGAACATGTCGGCTGTTTGAGAAAGCAACGGGGTCCGATCAGGTCCGGTTGACATGTTTTGGGCCCGCAGAAACCAACTCCACCTTTGTCCTTGGGCACTGGAATAGATTCATGCGGGAGGGAAGTGGAAGAGGGAATGCGTATCTGGGAGGTATTTGACTTTGACACTATTTGTTGGTGTCTAGAATGTTGATTGATAGTGGCCATCTCTATCCTACACAGCAGTCCATAAGTCTAGCCTATGCGATGGACAACTCCCATGGTACACGGAAGAGGCCAGTCCATCTTGTGACTGAGAGTGACGGCTAGTCTTGTAGGTGGCCGGACACAGGGCATGCCCAGCAAGGAGCCAAAGATCACCAAGCGGCACAACTGGACCTGGGCTGTGCAGCTTGGCCACAACGGAGCGTACCCCGTGACCCAATGAATTTCAGTCACTTGACATGGTCTATTTCAGTGGGACGGTATATTTTGAGCCTGCTTGCAATCACATGCGAAAACTCTTGCAATCACGCATTGATCTTGTCTCCTTGGTTCCCACGAGGGAAGTGGGACATAGTGGGACACAGGCACAACTGAGACGACTAGCGAAGTCAAACTTGGTTCCTGGGGCACCCAACGTCAAGAGGCACTGCCATCATGAGATACCTGCGGCTGGACTTGCCAGTTTGCTTTGGAATCTCAGCCAACAACCAATTCAGTTGACAAACCTAACTAACCATCCTCGGTCCTCGAGTGGTGGGCGTGCTATATAATCGATCAACAGAAGGCGCGGAAGCAAGCATTGGTTCATGAAGATACAAATCATTCGAGTGGAATGACAATCATTTCAAGAGTTCATCAAGAGGATCTAAACGTATCCAGTCCAGGGCCTTGAGTCGTGAGAGTTTCGTGAACAAAGGATTGAATGATATTGAATGTCTATAAAGGTGAGAGCCACGAACTACTCCACTTATGCATGGTTAACATGAAACAAAAATGGATACAACAAGATAGTACGAGTGGTGTTTAAATAAAAGAAAAACAACATATGGCAACGGCCCAAGACCATGTCTGTGGATCTTTCGTGACTTCGGCCGCTTCTTCTGGCCCGTCACCGTCCTCAGAGCTACCACAATCATACTGACTGACACCTGATGCTTTTCTGGGTTGCCCTATGAGTTTAGACACTTTAGACACGCTCGCGTTCGTCAGCGCGGCAACATCCGAGAACCGTCATGGCGCACCCCAGCACCGTCAACTCCGCGGATTCCGTGTTGTTGGTGAGCGCGCCCAGTTGATCCAGGTTCTGCGGAGGGGGCAGGATAGGACCGAGGACCTTCCTCCCACTTAAATGCGATGGCCTCCGACCTACTAGCGATGGGCTCCAAACTAGTAGCGATGGGAGATTGGTGTTTGAAATGTCCAAATGTGTTACATGGAGTGTTCATTGAGCGAGGGACCGTCAAGCAGCCGGTTGGCCTGTAACACAAGACTGGTTGCTGGCATTCCTGATCAGCCATTCCCCTTATATTCCTTTCTCACAATGTAAGATAATGTAAGTCAGTAAATGTAAGTAGTTATGGTGAAAAAAACTGCCCTGTCATAATGTTATTGGGGGCAAGGTGGCTCATTGCAGTTTCGCACCATACTTGCTAAGTTCCCGTCCTACAAGTGCCTCAAGTCTGTTCAGGACTGATTCATGCGATGTGAGATGGGTCAAGGGGCCTCAAATTGCAATGGAGCTCCTTCACCTGTCCCAGGCTGTACAAACTTCTTTGCCGGAGTGAACAAATGCAGGGACTGTCCTGAGATCAAGAAAAATACTTTGGCTTCATAGGCTCATGGGTCTAGAATCGGCTCCAGCATTCACTACGCTGCAGATTCGTGGTGCCCTGTGCCAGCCTCGATGGAGGCAGCAATGGCCTCAGCGTATTCTCATGTCGGGAAATTCATGCTTTGTGAGGAAGACGTGAGTGACTCACCAATGCACAGACAATTTGCTTTGCGGGTTGCCCTATTTTTTTGAGCCATAGCCAAATACACTTACTAAAGTTAGAAATGCAGTCTAACTGGCCAGTTGAAGCTTCCACCCCTTGGTAAATCCAAGAGGCACTTTCTTCTGGCGGCTGCGCCACGAGCATCCTGGCGTCATCGGTCTTGGAGCATCCCAGGGCTCGGTGTGGAGCTTCCGAAACACCAGCATCTTTTGCTTTGCTGGAATTAATTGGATAGACTGGTAGGCATGCAATGGCATGCAAAATACATTTATCATCATTTATCACCCTATATCGACATCATTCGATCAATTTGGATCTCATGTTTTTCGCCGAATGAAATCACCTGCCAGGGCCACAGCAACTCCTTGGGCGTCCTCTTGCGGAATTCACTGGGCGTCACCTGCCGCAACCGGACAAAGGAACCAACACCGCCCACTTAATTGCAACCAATTAAGTGGGGCACCCCTCAGCCGTTAAGCTACCTCTACCTAGTACTCACTATATCACGCATCTAGTTCCTAAATCAAATGAACCTGTGCGCAGCGAACCGAGTGAAAAACCAGTGCAGCCGGAAACCGTGACTTGGTGCGGACCTGCTGCGGTGCACTTGGTGTGCTACGGTGTACTAGGTGCAGTGCACCTTGCCACCCAGAGTTTTCAGCAACGGCCAAATATCCAATGACAGCAACACAGATGTTCTTCAATTGCCAAGTCAGTCTGCCAGAATCATCCGCACACCGTTCAGTTTTTAAGATTTTTTTCGGATCGACTAATTATGTAGTTCCCTTCGCGAAAAGGACCCAACACGCCATGGCTCCACTCCGCCTGATAGGCCGGCAACTTCGCACTGAGGTGTTTCACCTCGGCTCACTGGGTGCCAAGAAGACTAGGAACGAGGACGCTACTAGGAGCAAAGGGCATCGCTACTAGGAACAAGGACGCTACTAGGGGCTCCTGGCATCGCTACTAGTAACAAGAAGCTATTAGAAACAAGAATCTTGGAAAATTCTGACAACTCCATGGTCATTCCACCGACCTGAAGAGTGGATCGAGCAACCATGCAGGAGCAGAGTGACAGTTTCATTAACGAAGGGTCCTATGTCCTACGTTGGCCTTGTTTGGCCTGCGGTCAAACTGTTTATTCAGTTTGCTGTTACATCGCTTCCCATTAGTGCGAGAACATCCCTCTATTATAGTGTTCAACATCTACAAATGTAATCGATACCTGGACTCCCTTTGGGGCACAAAA